CTTGTATGGAGTTTGCTCCCCATGGAAGAGACAATGTACAGTATCACATAGTTCTTCTGACAGAAAAACAATATATCAGTTTATCTAGCTGATAATAAGTTATGAACCAATGTTTTACTGTCATCCTAATACTCACAAAATAATATTCTTGCCTCAAAATTTCAGGTTGTAGGAGGCCTAGATATCCACAAAAAGATGGTGGTAGATGTGTGACTCTTTAGAACATCACCCAACACTTTTGCTTTCTTCTCCATCTCTGAAGATCTGCTCAAGACGTCCAGCAACGCTCTCTGTGTATTTAAATGGAAGTATTTTTCTCTGTGAAGCCACATTTTCCAACATGAGCCTCATGAAGCCAACTAAGTGTTATTGAACTTTTATTCTCTCAATAACTTAGGTGTAGCACTTTAAAGTCTGAAGGACAGCAAGATGGAAAGAGCATATCAGTGTGGTGGAGAAAGGGAAGGGAGTTGGCTTTTTAATTTATTTTTCTCATCTTTTATAACAAGAAAATATCTATCTATATATATGTGTGTATTTATATATAGATATATATGTAGCTTTCTATATGTAGTAGTTAGATGGGCTTTAATTTAATATACTTGATTCAGAAACAAACTAGAGTACAAAGTGCCAAGCAGAACATTAACAGTTTGATATATGGATATACATCTTTACTTTTATGTCACACAGTTTTATATATATATAGTAGAAGAATGTAAAGTTTTAAATGGTTGTTAGGTCAACTCTTTCCTTTTTCCTGTGACTTATTTCAGATATTTATATATTGACTGGCTGAGAGCATTGCTTCCTGTTAATGTACCTTAATTACATTTTTGTAAGGCAGGAAACTGAGTTTGTTTATATACCTGTTGATATATTACCAGAGACTGCATCTTTGCTTGATAGCTTTGAATACAATTCTACTTAATAGTATGACAAAATGTAATTTAATGTTAATGCCAATACCAGTCCTTGTGTGCGAATAGGTTTTGCTTATAGCCATTTAATGATTACACTTACTAAATGGATGCATTTGCACATAATATACTCTTACTAAACATCAGTTGTGTTCCATTAAGTAGAAATAAAACAGTTGAAAGCTTTTGTGTTTCTCAGCACTTCACTTAATTGACATTTTAGGGTTAACAAGATGACTGTGTAGGATTCCTATTGCACAGTGAGATAAAACCTCTCTTGCCATTAAGTTATGTTCCAACCATATAGATTCATATACGCATTTAATGTAGTAGTACAAGTTGCATAGAAAAACTGGTAATATTTTATATATGTGTATATAGGATTATTATGGGAAAAACATTAGCCTATGCCATATGGAAGGAGGAAAACTTCATTATATTATCTAAATTTATACCTCTTATTCTTCTCCAGTGCTTCACTTGGAGATTTTTTTTTTCTAGATTTGTCCATATCATGACTTACAATGGATAGTAACTTGATGTGTGTGATATAAAAGTAGCGAGCCATGTTATACAACTTGATATCATCCCTTTCCTTTTCTGCAATGGTACTATTGGCTAGAAGAAAAAAAATAGATTTTTAGGATAGAATACCCTTTCCTGTATAACAGTTTTTCTATTTAAAATGCTTTTATAATTGGCAATGGAAAAGGCAGGTTGTATGAACTTAAATCAGTTGCCTGCCTGGCTGCCATAGCTGTTCCTTCAACTGAGTGCTGCACATCATGGGCTCTGTCTGTGAGAGAGAAATCCAGGTGCTTGGTGTCCTTGCATGACATGAAGTTTTGCATGTAGATCGATTTGAAATGTTCCTCTTGTTTACATGATTTGCATAATTTTAAAAAGATAATGTTGCCAAACTTTGGTAAATGTTAAAAACAGAGAAATCTCCACTACATGTAACTTTCTTCCTCTGGATCAGTACGTGGCTTATAATCCCAGCCAGTGGTTGTATCTGTTCCAGTGTCAACTGCCATGTGCTCTGCTTCAAGGGGGAACTAGTCTTTTGTGAATTTTTTGTACATAAGTATTTGTTATAAACATTTTAGCAAATGCTTTCTGTTTCTTAATTGCCTGTGCATATCCTGGCTGGCGTTATAGAAAATAGTGCTAACATTTACTTTCTTATGGGGGGGTGAGCTTTTTTTAGTTTTTTTTTTTTTTTTTAAGTTTTTGTGTGGAAAATGGGTTATGTTGAATGTCTAGATCTTCCCCTGCATGCTACATCATACAATGTTGGAACTATAGGAACCTTCATAATGTATGAATAAAAAAATAAAATATTTGAACTTTACAGTAGTACTGTGATTAATTGCCTATTCACTGGAAATTTTATGTTGTAACTAGAACATTGCATATGAAAATGTACATATTTTAAAAAGTATTAGATGGTTAATATGTTGGGTAGTGTACTTATACCTGACTACATGTGAAACTAAAACAATCCAGACGCAACCATTCTGATTGAAATAATATTTTTATCTCTACATAAAAGGTAAAGGTTCCCCTTGACAATTTTTGTCCAGTCATGTTAGACTCTAGGGGGTGGTGCTCATCCTCGTTTCCAAGCCACAGAGCCAGCATTTTGTCCGAAGACAATCTTCCGTGGTCACATGGCCAGTGCAACTTAGACACGGAACGCTGTTACCTTCCCACTGAGGTGGTCCCTATTAATCTACTCGCATTTGAATGCTTTCGACCCGCTAGGTTGATGGGAGCTGGGACAAGTGACGGGCGCTCACTCCGTCATGTGGATTCGATCTTACGACTGCTTGGTCTTCTGCCCCTGCAGCAAAGGCTTCTGCGGTTTAGCCCACAGCGCCACCGTGTCCCATCTCTACATAATACTGCCTTAAATTTAAAGAACCTGTAAACTGAAAGCATTTCTACCAGGATGTCAAATGGGGGGGGGGGGAGGAATTTATTTACTGTTTTGAATTACTAGCTTCAGATTTCCCACTCTTGACAACATCTTGGGGAATATATTAAGAGCTGGTGTTTGCATAGCAGTAATATGTGAAGATGGTATTAGAAGCCTGACCTCTTCCCTTATCCTATTAGTAATTCTTACATATGGTTTGCTTAAACAAGATACTTAGGAATTAATACAACATTAGCTTAACTATTACATCAAAGTGTGCTATTACTATTGATATTTACTACACTGTTGTATAGAATCCAGTGTCATGGAGGCAAATGTAAGTCTGTTTACAGTGCCTTCAGAAATATTTTTTTAAAAGGGTGGGAGGTTTTATTCTTCCTGTTGGACAGTACACTATATGAAAACAGAAGTGTCAAATAAAAAGTGTATATATAAAAGGTATACATGTACAGTATATTCCATGCACCTAAATGTAAAAGAGCTGTTTATTATGTTGAAACATTCTTGTAAGATTTTTGTAGTAGGAAGAAGAAAGTCAGTCTAAACATCACTTCAAAGAATCCATTTATGCTGTCTTACAGCAGTTTACATTTTCTCTACACTTACCAGTAGAAAGGTAGATATAATGGCCAAAATCCATGCAGTTATTCTATCTCAAAATTATGACAGCTTCTTTTAATGGGAGCTATGTACAAAAGCATGTAAAAATGTGAGTAGATAGGTACCACCATGGTGGGAAGGTAACGATGTTCCACGTCTAGTTGTGCTGGCCCCGTGACCACAGAAACTGTGTCCAGAAAAACACTGGCTCTATAGCTTGGAAACAGGTATGAGCACCGTGCCCTAGAGTCAGACATGACTGGACTAAATGCCAAGGGGAATCTTTACCTATGTACCTTCTGTTTAAATATACACTTCTAATTTGAAAGCAGCTTTCCCCCCTCCTCCCCTGGCTTTGATCAGTGTTAGTGTGTTCAAGTGTTGAGAGAATTTTAAAAGTTAACTGTTAAGTGCTGTCAAGTCGGAAATGACTTACAGTGACCCTAAAAGGTTTTTTAAGGTGAAATATTTAAGGAGTGGTTTTACCAGTACATTCCCTCAATCAGTTTCCATGGCCAAGCGGGACTTCAAACTAGTCTGTAACTCTTATCTACTATACCACAGTGGGAACCAGAAGTTAACTATTCTGTGCCATTTTCATTGATCTTACTGAAGATTTTCCCCCTCTAATGGATAAACAAGCTAGCTGGATAGCTGAGTGAGTTAGGTATCTAGCAGCAGAGCCAGAGGTTGGGAGTTCAGTTCCCTTCACAGCCAGGCTGCGTGGCCTTGGGCAAGGTGCAGTTCCAGAATGCCAGGGTACGCTAAACCACTTGAGTACTCTGTACCCAGTGTGAAGGAGAAATAGAAAAGAGATGTGTGTGTGCCGTCCCCCCAAATAAGTTGCAAGAAGAGGGATTGAGAAAGGAGACAGAGGGATTGATTGTAAAGAGGAATGAGTAGAAAGAAGTAAAGGAAAAAATCGAAAGTGGAAGTTTGTTTGATAGGAAAGGGAAAGGAAGGTGAAGAGTTAACATTACTGGTATGGGAGGAGGATAAAGAGGAGGAAGGGAGTATTCTTTGTACCGTGGAAAGGGATGAAAGAGGAAGGGGAATCTACTTATGGAAAGGTTTGTGAGTTATTGCAGGATTTCCCCAACCTGAAAGTAGGGGGATTACTACCTGATCCTGACCTGAAAAAGAAAGCAAAGATAACAGAAACGCAGGAATGGACAGCGATGGTTTTCCACAGAGGGCAAGGTCACTGGAGGAGGGTGATCAGACCCAATGCATCATTCAATCAACCCCCATGCAAGGGGGATTGGCCTTGACATCCCTGCTGCAGCACATTATGTGCCATGAGGAGCACTCCGTTGAGGAAGCCAATGGACAAAGAATGATTCGGGCCAGCCCCACGATACTCCCCGAAGTTACCTTTTGAGTGAAACGGATGACAACTTTTTACCCACATCTGCTACCAAGAACGCACGTGGAGAAGTTAGCCCAGAAATCACACTGCACAGCTTTAGAAACCCTGCTGTACAAGGTAATCACAATTTGTCTTCAATTTGACAAATGGAATCATTAGGCAAGTAAGCTAAAGCAAACTAGTGCCATTTTTATTGTACATATCAGTTTATATTCGGAGAGTATGCTTGGGTGAGGATAATTCTGCAGATGGTTTTCTTTAGATAACAGTCATACTAGCATGGAGGATTGCCATCAGTTTATTATTATGACTTCTGCATACCAGTCCTTTTTCTTGTGCAAAAAAAACAATACAGCATCAAATCTGAATCCTTGGTCTTAGAACCTTTCTGCTGCTCTGCTGGCCACTGCTCTAATATTCCCATAAACCTTTGATGGAGGACTTCCTGTAGAAGAAAGCAAGAGCTTAGCACTATTAATAGCAAAATTCACTTCTAAATGACTATCTCTGATCATTATTGTTCTCTTTTTAAATTTACAGTACAAAGTCTTCTAAGGTAAGAGGTGCTTTGCACCAGTAGCTATAGGAGTAACAAGTTTAGCCTTTTCTGGTCTATAGCAAAGTAACACATCCCGAATTCTTTGAATATACAGCATCAACAGCACAGCACATTTGTAGTCAACTGAAGCTATTCAATATGGTTGCCATGCCATAGCATCTCCTAAAAACTTATCTCAGGCGTTTGCTTATGTAGCAGATACAAATTATTGAAGAAATACTTAACCTCATATGGAACAAAGCTTTTATAGCAAGAATAGTGTTTTAAGATAATTGCACCACAATTTATGATGTGTTACATAATCTGAATATAAGAGTAGTGCTGGTCCGGTGCAGTATGCCATTTCTAAACTGGCCAACCAGATTTTTACAGAGTTCACAAACGCAACCTAAGCACAAAAACACTCCTCTGCTTGTGTTTCCTTTCAGCTGATCTTCAGAAGCATACTGACTCATGTGCTGGAATTTAATACATAACCACCATGGCCAGTAGCCAACGATGGCCTTCTCTTCCTCTACAGGTATAGAAGTGTGACATCTCAGATACTGAGTTCAACTACGGTTTACACTCAAATGAACTAGAAAGCATTCACAGATGCATCTTTTTATAGCATAGTGTTCCAGCCATGAGCTTATTGCCCTTATTGTACAAGTAATAATATAAACACAGAGAAAGACACAGAAGTATTCTGGTTTGTTTTGGATGGTTTGAAAAAAAAAAAGCTTACCTAGAATGAGATTGCAAATTGCTGTTCTTGCCATTTTGATATTCTGGAAAGACCCTAAAATATGAACTTTTCTGTAATAAAAAAATCACATAGGAAGATTATGATATTTAGGTATTTAACAACATATGAAAGCATTCTCCTATTAGGGACCCAGCAACCCTCTTTAGTACTTTTCATTATGGCTGAACCAGCACCTGATCGTTATCTTCATAAAGAGATATTTCATTAACTAATTATATGCTTGCACCCACTCTACAAATTCTAAACATTAAAAGTAGCCATGACATCCTATAATTCCCATCTACTTCATTTCAGATCCACTTTGCTCAACTGTATGGTAATCTTTCCACCATCTGTTACAGCACATTCAAGAATCCATCTTAATTGGGGCTAATCCATTCTTCACTTACCTCTTCATGTACTACTGTACAACACAACAATATTCCACAACTAACTTACACAGCATTTCCCTTTATCAATGTCCCCATTGTAAACAATAGTGAGTCATTCCCACACAACATGTTTGTAATCATCAGGTTCCAACAAATTTAGGCCCTATTCAGATCACTCAAAGTACACTGCAGGCCCTACATGATTTTGTGTGGATTTCCAGCAATCACTTTTAAAGGGTCCACTTCAAACCGAGATGCTGCGGTGAAAGCAGGTATTCTACTAAATTAATACCAAATTATGTTGAAAATTCACATAAAATGAAATATGTGAACTGTAATATACTTACGAATCTGCAAGAACTATTCGCGTTCTTGTTACATTTTCAATGGTGAATTTTGTTTTTCCACCTTTTCCAGCAATTCTTCCTATTGCTCTAGAAAGATGATCTCCTTTTAGAGGTTTCACTAAAGAGATAAAAATAATTTTAACTATGTCACTACTTTTATCCTAGCCATATTTATTCTAGATCTTAATCTAGGGTACCTGACATTGTCTAGTTGCTAACAACGAATAGGTTTGAATCTCTCAGATGAGAGATAAACAGCAGCCAAGTAAGAATATGGCAATATTTAAAAATATTTATCACAAATCAAATCTTGTTAAACAAGACTTACTGGAAATTGAGAATACTTAAGGACTGGTATCTCAGAACAGATTTCAGTGTTCATGTAAAAAGCACATGGTACAGTTTTTTGGAGACCTACTCCTATGTAGAAAACTATGACACTATCTAGGCTCTCCCCTCAGCTTTTCACAGCAAGAGATGATGCAGGAGTAGATTTCAAACACCAATTCCTCCTATATGCATTATGAAGTGGTCCAACCCTATGTGGACTACACTGTGCAACATATTTTTTCTGAACATGTTAGTTGGTTCAGTCAAACCGAAGGAACAGAGCTGCACTGTATGAAATTATGAATGCATGCTGGTTGTAGGAAGTGCATTTTCAGAAAATAATTATTAGCAGTAACAACAACCATGTGCCCTCAAGTCAATTCTGACTTATGGTGAGTCTTTTTCAGGGCTTTCCATGTAAAGAGTTCTCAGAAGTGGTTGACCATTCTCTTCTGGGGGTGCCCAAGAACTGGGCAGCTTGCCCAAGGCCAAACAAGGCTGGCACTGCTCACAGAAGGCACAGTGGAGAATCAAACTGCCAGCTCCACAGGCAGATACCCAAAACACTGAGCTATCTAGCCAGCAATTTGTCAAAAATAACATTATGAAAAAAAACCTGCTATAAATAAAATTTTGGTAAAGGATTTATATGAAAGACAATACTAATATTAATCCACTTACAAAGTTTTTTAAAAATTGTAATGAAAAGGGACCATCCAAGATCACTAAATCATAATCACTCTTTACAATATTTTTAAAAAGATTTTACAACTTGGCAGCTTATAAAAAGGTTCAACCCTTCTGGGCTTGCTTTAAAGACTGTCAGAGTAGTGCAATAAAAAAGTAAAACTTGCCAGTGCTGGAATGCAGTACGATTTTACAACTACAGCGCATACAGTTAGATGGAAATGATCATTCTAGGAAATTTAATTTTAATCAGTTAAATGATTTTAGTGAACAACGTTATGAAACTCAAGGAAATATATAAATATTTAAAATCAGTTTGGCAGCTTTAAACGACAAGACAATAAAATAAGGTTTTAGCTGACAAAGTGGAATCAATTTTAATTTAAACCAGCAAAAGTCTGAAAGTTAAAGAGGCACAGTTGAACTAATTTTGTGCAAAAAAAAGAGGAAAAATATTATACACATTGTGACAAACCCAGACCAACTGGAGGATGCCACACTTTCACTAAGCTGCCACCAACCATTCCCTGTAAGGAGTCACACAGACCAGGAATGGATTTTTAACAAATAAAAGAACAAGGTTTATTTAAATAACACACAGGGAAAATAAAATGATCAAGTGAATAAGATACAGTAACGTGGCTTAGTCTCAATCATACATACACCAGTTTGGTTCACACAGAACACCTTTAAATAAAGCACAGACCCTGAACCTATCAGTTCTGGCTACCCATACAGACACCTGAACCTATCAAGTAGGTACTGACTGACACACAGTTGTACCCTGTCTGACACACAGACTCCCACTCCAGCTGCTTCTCCTCAGCTTCTAACTTCTCCACACAAGCTCCACATATATATACAGTACAGCCCCTCCTCCTGATGTCCCGCCTTCCACTCCCCATAGGATGGAACTTTCCCTCCAACCCATGACAGACAGGTAACATCAGTGCTGTATGTAACACACATTTCTCCCTTTTAATAAGCAGATTTTATTTATTAATCATAAGTTCTTTTATGTCCCTTGGTATTAGAAAACATTGACAATACAATACCGTAAAGATGAGACACTCACCATCCGTTACTTCAAAGGATTCTAGAAAAAGGTCATCTAATCTTATTAGAGCAAGAGCATCCTAGGAAAAAAAGTAATTGAACTTACAACTTTGTACAGATACTACATGTTAATTAATGTAAATCTTTCCTATTTGTCAAACATTACTTCTAGAGGTTGTTGTAGGTTTTTCGGGCTCTTTGTCCGTGTTCTGAAAGTTGTTTGTTCTTCCTAATATTTTGCCAGTCTCTGTGGTCAGCATCTTCAGAGGACAGCACTCTGAACTCTGCAGCTTCACTTGTCCCACCTCCTCCAGCTGGTGCCCACTCAAAGGTAGGGCACAGATTCCCAGCCCTGCTTCCTCCAGGTGCTGCCTCTGAGTGAGCGACCACTGGAGGAGGTGGAGCAAGTGAAGCTGGGACATTCAAAAAACAGCTGTGCAGCCAAACCACTGAACCGCACCAAACCAAGGTCCATGACCATTTCGAGTGTTTATCTCTGCTATGCAACTATGCTAAGCAACAGCTAAGCAACTGCTATGCTAAGCAACAAGATTTTGATCATTAGAAAATAAATGCATATTCCCTCGCTTATTGCCATACAGTTCAAAGAAATAGCAGGAAATTTACTACTATTAACATGATTATCCACTGTCTGTTTGACAAATCAAAAATATTTTAAAACAAAGGCTGTTTTTTTACAAACTTCAACATAGAAATTCTATATGAGAATTAACCATGAAGATCTCTGTGCATGCATGGCTATAACACATAGTACAGCAGCAGTTATTCTTTTCAATTGAATGGCCAACTATTAAAGTACACAATGAATTACTGAAAAAACAAGCAAAGTGGACTTCTTAGCACAGCTAAGACATAATACCATTCCACATAATAAAGTGATCTGTTCAAAGCCAAATGAAAACTCACCTCTACTTGAAATCCAAGTATAAAAGCTTTCACAAAATCAGCTGCTTTTGTCAAAGCGCTTATGTCTTTAGTTTCTTTACATGTCTAGAAAACAAAATGGTGTTTCAAGATTTATCTCGTGAAGCATCAGATTTACCCCAAAATACTAACCGCTTACGCTACTAGTACACATCCTTCCTCTGCTGTATTCAAAACACTAATCTCTCTATTTGTATTAACTCCGCTTGTAATGCTGCTGTCTTTTCTCTCTTTGCAAAAACATATTCAATTACCGTACTACCAAAGATGAAATCAATCCTATTCCTTCTTTCCAAATTTGAACCTAAGTTTTATCTGTTTTTGAATCTGCAAGATGCTTACCTTTCTGCATACACATTGTCCAGAATTAACTGGCAAGGTATTCAATCCTTTTATTCAGTTTTGTAAGTTTACCTTTCAAAAGGACACAACGGACCTAAACTGTTCCCACAACAGTCTTATCTGGCCATTGTTAAAGGTGCTTCTCTCTACATTCTGCCTGCTGACATCTTCCACACTATATCACTTCTCCAAACTTTCATAAATATTCACAAACATAAGGCTGGGGCTACACAGCACAGTTACTTCAAGAGGCAAGCATTTTCAATAATGTCCCAGACTTCTATGTTACTAATAAGTTAGTCAAACTTTAAAATAAGATTACTGAGACCAACAAGTTTCCAGAACATAGAGGGAAGGGGAACCTGGTCCTCCAAATGTAGGCTAATATCCTGTTCTCAGCATAAGCCAAAGCATACTTGGAATCTGGTCCTTCATAGTAAACAAACTGCCACTGTCATGGTTCCTGGAGGCATACACGCACCAAGCCAGTTTGTGTATGTGCGCGCAAGCTGAGAACCACAGCAGTGATTCGTTTACCAGGAGCAAACAGATAGAAAGTTACACTTTGTCTTATACTGCAAACAGGATTTCAGCCATACATTGACTGCTTCAACCTTAGCCAGTACAGCCAACACTGAAATTCTCTACTGAATTCAGAATGGCTACTCTGCCATACTCTTGCCATTTCAAACTCTGAAACAGCTTCCTGACTTTCTTTCTACCGTGAAAGATTTAACTGGAAATTTGGATGACAACTTGAAAGTAGAATTAAATTCATTCCAGCTCCAGATTTAGACCCCAAACGGGATGATGATTCTAGGGAAAGGTATATATGTGATTTGGAGAAATGTGGGGAATAGTTTTGTATTTAATATTTGCAATATAGTCGATTGTCTTTTCATTCTTTAGAAATAAATAAATTTAAAAATCAAATAAATAAATAGTCTAACTGCTCACTGGGAGGCTTTCCCAAGAACTGAGTTGCCCCCATATATCTCCTTCCTACAACTGATTTCAAAAGCAATAAAATACTTTAAACCTGAAAAAAATGGGCTGATGATTCATAATTTAACGGCAGCAAGAACTGGACAGAGTGCCTTCAGCAGTGCTAGCCCAAGATCACTGTTCAGTTATATCATCTAGTGACAATCTCTGTATACTGACATAATTAAATCTGTAAACGATTCTCATCCACTTCAAATAAAGAAACCAGCTTTACAGATCTTCCACATAAAACAATGATACATAACTCACCTTTATCTCCACATTTCTGCTTTTTAAATTAAACCTAATCTGAAGTTGCAAATGTTCTACAATAGGAGTAAATATTTTCATCCAGTTCTCCTTCAAAGGTGTATATCTGTTCGCTGGTACAGGAATTTTTCTCATTTCACTTTTCCCATTCTAAATAAAACATAATTCCTTTAAATTAGCTTTGGACTGTTTGATGGATAAAGTTGCTCTATATTCCGTAAAATGATACATCTGACACATTTACAGACAACAAAATCAGGAAATTCACAGATAGCAGTAAATTCATGTTTCTCTCATAGGACAGAACAAAGAAAACCTTACTAGTTAAGACTGTGGCATGCCTGTACAGAACTTGTACCCAGGTTTCAGCAGTGGCTGGGACTGCATTTGCACAATTAAAACTAGCGCTCCAGGTGTGCTCATTCCCAGAGAGGTCTGATCTAGCCATGGTGATACATTCCTTAGTTACAATCTTAACTGAATTATTGTGATGTGTGCTATATGGGGCTGCTTCTGGAAAGTGTCAAGAAAATTAAGCGGGTCCAAAACTCTGCAGCCAGATTGCTGACTGGGGATGGTCACATAAACCTTCTGACAGCCAGATTGCTGACTGGGGATGGTCACAAGGATCACATAAACCCAGTGGCTGCTGATCCAATTCTGGGCAGAATTCAAAGTGCTGGTTCTAACCTATAAAGTCCTAAATGGCTTGGGTCCAAGCTATCTCAAAGACAGTGTCTCCTCCCCTTATGAGACTGCTTGGGTGTTCAGATAATCAGGAGGCACCTTTCTCTCGGTCCCGCCACCTTCACATGTGCACTTGGTGGGGACACAGGCAAGGACTTTCTCTGTTGTTGCCCCTAGACTCTGGAACTCGATCCCACAGGAGACCAGGCTGGGCCCATCTTTGCTCTCCTTCTGCAAGGAGGCAAATACCTTTCTCTTCCATGACTTGCAGTCTGGGTAGAGTTTTTCAATGGATATTGTGTCTACTGCTCTGCATGTATGTGTGTTTTGTGTTGCTTTTGTTTATTGTTTTTTTGTGTGGTATTTATTTGATCCCTTTTAGCATGTACACACTTACTGTTTTTAGCTTTAAGTATTGTCTTTTAACAATGTAAGTCGCTTTACTAATGAAAGCTGCCTTGGGTCCTTTTGGGGAGAAAGGTGGCACGGAAATATTTTAAATAAATGAATAAATGTGGTCGCTTTTAAGGAGAAAGATGGGCTAAAATGTTTTAAATAAATATTCATAGAGACTTAACGTCTGCAGCCTTTGCACATAAAACTGTGCTCACGACCTGGGGTTCAATCCCAGGTAGCGGCTCAAGGTTCACTCAGCCTTCTATCCTTTCGAGGTTGGTAAAATGGGTACCCAGCCCGCGGGGGGGGGGGGGCAATGTGTAGCCTGCATAATTAACTTGTAAACCGCCCGGAGAGTCCTTGTAGCGCTATGGGGCGGTATATAAGTCCAAAAATATATATATGTAGTTCACTCCAGAACCACTAGCCCACTTAAATCTGAATTACTCGAAAAGGCACTTGCAACCAGGAACCATACCTGCTCCTGGAGATGAGGGAGAAAGCAAAACGAAGGGAACGTGCCCTTAACGCTGAAAGTTGTCCTTGGAAGCCACGGAGCAAGCTAGACAGGCTCCGTACAGCCAAAAAAAAAAACCCGACACAGGAGTATAGAATTGAAACCCTTCGTAACCCCCCCCCACATTACCAGTATCCCAGTATGCTACAACACACCCCACACTATCCCCACCACCGCCACCCCTGACAGGAACCACCGGGAGAGCTTACTCCAAGGGCGTCCCCACGAAGAGGGGGGAAATCCGGCCGCTTCCTGGGCAACGGGCACCCGCTCGTTTCCATGGCCCCCTCCCGGCGCCTCTTCCGCTTGCAGACGCTGGTGAAGTCTCCCTCGCCGGGAGACCCCGCACCCTCGCCGGGCGCCTGCGTGTCCATCGCAACGGGAGCCGTCGGCAGCCTCGCCTCGCCCGCGCCTTCCATCGCCAGCCCCCCTCCGCACGAGCCCTCTCTGCTCCAGGCACGCGCTGACAGGAAGAGGCGGGACCCGCCGGCTTCTCGCCTCAAGACGTCACTTCAGCCCCGGACGTCTCTCCCAGGGACGCACGTCTCTATGGTCCTCTCTCTCTCTCTCTCTCTCCGTCCCGCCTTCTAGAGGCCGAAGCCGCTCCCTCCCCCTCCTCCTCCCGGCAAAGTAATGGCGGTGCTGCGGAATGCGCGGCCTTTCCAGGTTCCCAATCCCCATCGCTTTTTGGCCCTGGCTGTGCTCGGTAGAAAAGACCCTGGGGGGGGGTCGACCACCTCCGTAGAACCGCAATTGTGACGCCGGTGCGGCCGCGCAGCCCGGCGCCTTGGCAAGGCTCGTTCGCTTCTCTATGATTTTTGTCCTCTCCGGATGTTTGGTCTGCGCTTGCGCGGAGCGGCCTGGCGTCGTCAAGGAGCTCGACGGGGCGCCAGCGAGAGCTGGGGTAGGAGGCGCGGCGCGGCGTCATGTCGGCGGGAGGCTTGCTGGAGAAGCCGCAGATCATCGCCCACGCGCAGCAGAGCTTATCGTACACGGTCTTCGGCTGCCTCTGGGTCCCGTGCAGCGCCCGCCTCCTCTGCCTGGGCACCTTCCCGCGGGGGACGGGCGTCCTCCAGCTCTACGAGTTGCAGGGCGGCCGCCTCTGCCTCCTCCGCGAAGTGAGTCCCAGGGAAGGGGAGAGACCAGGGCCAGGGGGAGGCGGCTCTCCTCGCTGGGTCTTCTCCCGGCTGCTCCACGTGGGGGAGGAGGAAAAAGAAGAACCGCCGCGCCCCCCCCAGGCCCTTTAAATTAAACACGGACTCAGTGCAAGCCGTCCTATGCATATCCGCTCAGAAGTCCCTTTGAGTTCAGTGAGACTTACTCCCGGGTAATCGTGTATAGGCTTGTAGCCATCAGTCTGGTAGTGGCTGGTATTGAACTCATTTAAAATATTTTTTACCCCGCCTTTCTCCTTAAAAAGGACCCAAGGGTCAGAATAGGTCACACTGCATAAGGATTTTATAATCCTGCATGATTTCAGGCGGCAGATTGCGTTAGTCTACCTAAACTTGTCATCTACAGAGTGCACAATTTTGGTGGGGTGCCTGCTTGTTATGAACGACTCAACTGCAGTCACACATAGGAGTTGGAGAGGGGAATCCCCGCTTCATCCGTCTGGTATAGAAAACAGATCTCCTCTCCCACCATTTTGCAGGGAGGTGTTTCTGATTCAGTTTCTGAGACCCCCACATGAGACCCCCAATGAGTGGGGAGTTCCTTTTGGATGGAGGCAAATGGTTAGACACATCTGCATGCTAGATGACAGGCAGTTGCAAAGACTGTCTATGGCTGTATTTCACTGAAGTTTACTTTAAAAGTATGTCTTGACGGCCCTTACTAGAGATGGGCACGGACCTGAAAAATGGTGGTTCACAGATGGCCACAAACCAACTAGAAAACCCAACCTGCTCTTGTTGTGCCACCGCTGCCTATCAGCTGGGCAGCAGGCCTGGCTTCTGGCAGGGATCTCCATCTGAGGATGAAGGCAGCAGGAGGGGGGAAGGGGCAGGCATCCCTTTTTGCCAAAGCAAAATGAAGGATTGAGGAGGGAAAAGTTCAGTGCTTCAGCAAAACAGGATCCCTGAACCAGGTCATGAACCAAACTGCAAACCGGCCTGGTTTGTCATTTTTTCCTGGTTCATTTTTTGTTTCAGGCCCATCTATTGTCCTTACAATTACGGAACTTGCTAATGCAAGTTAAGTGACCACTAGCCATTTCAAAAACCTCTATTGACTAAATTTCTGAAAGTACAAGGAAACTGTTGCAGCCTTGATTTTTCATTCCGTCTAGTTTTTTTAAAATTTATATGATGTCGTTCTTCATAATTGCTGCTGTGTCCATTGTGCCTCCTTCTCTAAAACTACAAAATCTGACTAAAATGTGGTGGGTTTCAGGATTCATAAGAAGTTCATCTAGTTTACAAATCTGAGGTTTAGCGTTCTGCCTTGGGAGACTCCTGTTCTAGCTCATTTTGAAAGCATGGCGAACTGTAGTAAATTAATGTATGAACACAGCCTGTTTGGGGATGATTATTCTTTGCCAGGGATGGTGAATGTGTGGCCTTTCAAATGTTTTCATCTGAGCCATCATAGCCAGTGTTGGGGGCTAACAATGTATGGAGACCTACACATTCCTAACCTATGGTATTTACAATTTAAAATAAACCTTGATCTTCTACCTTGTTCTGTTAAGATGATACACAGCATTTTACATTCATCAGATGTGAATGTGTGATAAAATGATCCATACCTCTTCACAAAAAATTGAGCTTGCACCCACGGACACCCTTTGATTTTCCATTCTATATAGAGGGATATTGTTTTTTATGGGCTAAAGAGGTTGATCATACAATATGTCAAGCAGTTGTTTCCCAGTGTTGAGGAAAAGATAAAGATTCTCTTACCTAAAGGGAAAAAATGTATACCTTTTACTAGGCAAATCTAAAGTGTGTGCACACACACACACAAATACAAATAAAATAGAAACAGAAGTATCTTCTAGTCTAAGTGTGTACACTTAGAGAAGTCCCTTGATTTCATTGGGGCTGACTCCCAAGTAAAGATTGTGTTGCGTTGTAGCATTAAGTAAACTAACTGTTGTAGGCCAGAAAGAACTCTTGATGGGCTTGCCAAATGGAAAGGTGCTCCGGGCTGCCGTGCCATGTGGTTTGAATCACACGAATGTTCTCTGAAATGTAACATTTAAACAGTTTGAGACCACTGCAGGATCCAAATGTACACACAGATGGATAAACAGTTGTACCTATTAAAACAGTTTAAAGATGGTGACTAATTTCCATTTTGACCTTTTTGGAGTTAGAAGATTGATTTCTGTTAAACAGGGAACAGAGAAGCATAGGTCAGAACGGAATCAAACATGACGAGAAGTGCATCTGTTTTGGCAGGAATGCATTCTAGCCTATAACGTTCTGCCCAGAGTTTGGCAAGCAATGTTCAGGAGTTGAGTCGTGTTTAGAAATTAATAATGATGAGGAATGTTGTGTTGGTCACTATGGTGATAGCATTAAGTTTGCTTGTATATACAGCACTTCGCTTCCCACAGAGCACTGGTTGTCATAGCTATAGCAATGCAAGAGTACAACACATTGACCTTATAAAGTGTTAAGAAGCTGAGGCTTTCCCTGCGAAGCAGATTGGCTGGTTGCTTATGTGAATCATGCAGTCGTATTAACAAACTATTTTCCATTTTCTTTTACTGAAGTGAGGAAAAGCATTCTGTTTTATTGTTTAGCATTGCTTTCCAGGCACAAAAGGCCTATTTGTGCCATAAATGTAAGCATGATTTTCTGTTGTCCAATTTTAGTTACAGAGTCTGATTCCTACCTTTATTAGTACATAAAAAGAATTGGTTCTGCTATTATTAAAAATATGAAGTTGATGGCAAAGAGGCAAGAACAAAGGAAAAACTGGTTAGTGTGTGACTTTTTTGATCAGGAGTTGTTTACTTGTTTGCATCTCAGTTCATCTCTTAGGCTAAAACCTAGGTTAAAAATAGAACATTGCAGCTATGCTAGCTGTTGGCATACACCAATTTATCTCAATTGACTTTCTGTTTATTATCCTGTTGAATACAGTGTTTAATTTCTTAGTTTTGCTTGGTCTATTCAAGCTGAATGCCAGACTTGTGACAACCTTGCACATCAGTCATCTTTAATTAGGTGGTATCCTTCTTAGATGTGTAGATTTACATAGACTGGTTGACAAGATATAAATAAACATGCTTACTTGGAAATAAGTCCCACTGAACTCTTCTGAGTAATATGTTTAGGCCTAAGTCCTTAACATTGAAAGAGAAAGATTGAACAGAAAAAGAAAATATTGCTGAATTATGCTGTTTAAAATTTTAGGGTAGAGTTTGTGGTTTGCAAGAGAGTAATGCATGAACTTTACAGGTTTAACCAGATAATAAAGGTTGAAATTTCTGTAGTTTCATTTTTTTCTTTTTTCCAGCTGGTAGACCTTGTAACTCTCTTCTGGCATTGTAAACCATCAAGAGATGGCTAGTTCTTCTAAGAAAACTGGAGAGGAGAAAAGAAAATATGAGCACAATCTCAGCACATTTATTATTTATTTTATTTTGCTATTTTCATTTGTATGTTGTTTCTTTCTCCAAAGAGACACAGAACAACGCACACTTCCAAAACACTACCTATAACAATACAATACTCTATAAATGATAAATTGCTATATCTACTCAGAAGTGAGAGCTACTGAATTCACTTGGACTTAATGTCAGAGAAGTGTGTATAGTTTTGCCGCAATAACTTGAAATTCACACCACGTTCACTTGCAGACAAATGAAATAGCGAATTGTATATTACAGTAAAATATGGCGCATCTGCTTTCCAACTTTTCAGATTGAAAAGCCAAGGCCTATTAAATGTGGAACCTTTGGTGCTTCTTCTCTGCAACAGAGGTACCTTGCTACAGGAGACTTCGGTGGAAACTTAAATATATGGTAAATAATACAAGACATGCTTGCTGATGTTGTTTAAAGCTCTGTTTCATGTGCTCTTAATCCTCCTTTCTCACCTAATTCAAAATTACATATAATCACACTTCCTGATTCATTTAAATATTCTTAGATGAGGTGCATTTAGATTTGGGCAATATTTTTAATACTCTGATGCAATGGTTATGTTTAGTAGGTTGAGGTACTTGTGCTTTGGCTGAAATCTGTTACACGGTGTGTTCCACAGCTACATGCATTACCCTCAGACAGCATTTCCTCTTTTCCCTTCCTCCAGGAGAAAAATTGGTGACTTTTCAGAGCCGTCTGTCTAAGGCATGGCAGGCCGCTTTTCTCAAAGGGCAGCCAGGGTTGAGATTGGAGACAGCAAAAGTGGTTCCTTTGGCACATGCTGTTCGTTTAGAAAGTTTGTATTCCGAAACTCAGGCAGAAGCTTTTTCTGAAATCTTCCCTTCACTGCTGTCATCTAACCAGAGAATTGCACTAGGCTTCCTCCTCCCCCTCTTTTAAGGAAACAAATTTGCATGTTTCTTTCTCTTGAGAGTTTTTATTTTGTTTTGACCTCCTAGTGATATTCTTGCCACAGGAAAACCTGTGAATCTGCTAACCTAGTAGAAACATGTTTTCAGTGTAGGCTCCCCTAATGTGTGAAATCATATCCATTCCCCAATATACTATATACATTATTTTTGCAGCTTTTCCCTTTTCCCAGTGATCAGTAGAAGGACTGGCATCTCCATTCTAGGGATGTGGTGCCATTGCCAAGCAAGAAGAAAAATACAGATGGGGAGTACTCAGAAAATCAGCCCTCACACCCCAATAATGTAATCTCTTGGTTCTTTATAGACTGTCTCCAGTGACCTAAAATTTGTCCTAAGAGAACAATTTTGGGGTTTTGTTTTTCTGTGTGAAAAGCCTAAAAATAAATGCTTTTGGTCAGGTTTTGAATAGTGTTTCAGCTAATGTTGTTCTGAGGTCAGCAGTACAAGTTGAACGGAACCCTCAAACTTTCGTAGATCTCAGCAACTACTCTTCAGAGAAGTATATTCTAAAAGTAATAAGAAATGCTATCCAACTTCTCTACTCTGTACGTAGGCTGTTTAAAAAGTTGAGTTATTCGTGAATCTGATTTACCCTTCCAGAAGCTGAAGTTGTAATCTTATATCTTTTCATTTGACATTGTGAATGTGGTAACCTGAACTTCTGTATGTGTCACTTTTTGAAGCAAAATAGAAGAATATTTTAAAGTTCTTATTGAAAAGAAATGGGATGTAATCATTGGTGAGCAAAATTCTGTGCTCTTTATAGTGTCAGTAATTTTAGATATTGGTTAACTTAAGTAATCATTCTCTCCAAAACCTCTACCTGGCCATGTGTGGCAAAGATTGCCATCATTCAGAGTCTACTTGATGGCACATACAGTGGTGCCTCGCATAACGGGCGCCCCGTTTAACGACGAAGCCGCATACCGACAATGTTTTTGTGATCACTTTTGTGATTGCATAATGATGTTTCCTATGGGGGAAATCGCTTTGTGATGATCGGTAAGCTGTTTCGCTTACCGATTTTCGCATAGCAATGTTTTTCCCCAGCTGATCGGCGGTTCCAAAATGGCTGCTGGGTAAAACAGGGACAGATTCCTTGCTTACTGGGCAGCTAAAATGGCTGCCGTATGGAGGATTTTCACTTAAAAGGTAAGTTTTAAGCCCATAGGAACGCATTGAAGGGTTATCAATGCATTCCTATGGGCTTTTTAATTTCGCATAGCGATGAATCCGTATAGTGACGATTTTTGCTGCATGGATTATCGTCGCTATGCGGGGCACCACTGTAATTAGTAATTATTACTCATTTTTAGTTTTATGAATGAACACTAAGTGATTTTTGTTTTCTGCTTTCCTTTTAGGAATTTGGAAACACCAGAAATCCCAGTGTACTCTGTGAAGGGACATGAAGAAATCATAAACAGTATTGATGGTGTTGGTGGTTTGGGAATTGGAGAAGGAGCACCAGAAATCGTGACAGGAAGCCGTGATGGTGAGTTAGTCTTGTTGCAATGCCGTTGCTTGGAACAAAAGGAAAGATAGATGGGGCTAGATGAATCCAGGTAATAGCCTCTGATGACACCAGTGTCTTTGGGCTGACTGGTTTAGATACTCTTATTTGTTTATTTCATTTCATCCCTATTCTGTCTTTCATCCATGTGAGGGACTTGAGGCACCTACAAAATGGTAGGAAAACAGATATGTAAATTAAAATATAAAATGTTACAAAACATATAATGCTATTAAATGGCAATTGCAGTGGTACCTCGACTTACGAAATTAATCAGTTTTGGAAAGACGTTCGTACGTTAAAAAGTTCGTAAGTCGAAGTACCATTTCCCATTGAAATGCATGAGAACGGAATTAATCTGTTCCAGCATTTCAAAAGGCAAAAAGGCAGGGAGAAAGAGCTGGAAATTTGAATTCCCAACCCTTTCTCTCTTTTTTTGCAGGGAGCCATTTACAAATGGCTCCATTTGAAAAAAAATGGCATTGACTTGCGAACGGAGCCTTGACGGAGTCGATGCCAATTTTTGCCAATGGAGCCGTTCGTAAATCGAAAAGTTCGCATATAGGGATGTTCGTAAGTCGAGGGTTGACTGTAAATTTAAAACACATTGTGTCTTCTTTAAAATCCAGTAGAATATTTTAAAAAGAAAAGGTGAAAGAGGACAATCTTGAATTCTGTTCCAAAGACTAAAGCAGCTGGTCAAGCCAGTATATCAGTGCCACTTTGGAGATCTTTGTTTGCTAGTATATAGTTGGTGACAGCCGTTCTGGCCAGCCATTTTCCATTCTCGGTTTCCCAGCTGCCATATGATATGGTTACAGAGATACTGCAATCAGATCTACTGATGCTGTATATTCTATTTTGAGTCCCAATATAGAACAGAGCTTTCACATACGTTGTTAGAGGGTCTGTAGCAAACTGATAACGTTTAAGAATGTGAAAAGGAAATATAATGAAAAACAGTTCAAATATCTCTGTGTAGTGTATAAATGTACCTGTTGATAATTCTGTCTTCTGAATGAATGAAAATTAAAACTTCCATGTACTAGATTATAGCATTTTCACTGAGTTACACATTATTTAGTTTATCCGCTAGCTGTACTGTTACTTGGATAACAATGAAAACAAGCTGTTTTGTTTTTTCAATATTTTAATTATAAGTAGTTGTAGAAGAATGTAGTGACATTTTCTTAGGAGTAAGTTGAAGTTGCTGAAGCTAGAAAGTAAGAATAACCATCACAGGGTATTTCGTTCATAACAGTGTTTAAAATCATTGATTGCAGGGACTGTGAAGGTGTGGGACCCAAGACAAAAAGACATTCCTGTTGCCAATATGGAACCTGCACAAGGAGAGAGCAAAAGAGACTGCTGGACAGTGGCGTTTGGTAAGTTCTATGAACATAAATCTTAATGGTGCATGAAAAAATCTTAAATCTGTCCTTGAATTAATTTTGTTTCCATTGCTTTTGTCTTTGACTACAATAATGTTGAGTTCTCCATGTTCTCCGTGAAATCATACACATGGGTAGGTTCTGTGCCTTGGAATCTTCTAGGGCAATGGTAATCCAGGTAACCTTGGGTAACCCAGGTTTTCTTGGACTCCCAGAAACCCCTGCCAGCACAGCTAGTGGTGAAGGCTTCTGGGAGTTGCAGTCTGAGAACACCTGGGCTACCAAAGGTTGGGAACCACTGTTCTAGAGCCGCAAGAAGTATTACGACACACCTTCTTCACCACACTTGCTTCCCCACGCTCAGGGCAGTCCTCGTTTATCCTTTTGCCACTGCTAAGAGAACTCCTCAGGAGATTTTCTCAAAACTGACCATAATTTTCTTCAAAACCATTTGTATATAGTTGAGCTTTTCTTCTTTCATTTCTGTATTCCCCTGTTCATCATTAAAAAAGAATCTCAGTTAATTTTTAGTGGTTGCCTCACAGTTAACAGCATTTTCACGTTTTTATAGCCCGAATAGGCCCATTCAAACTACTTGTTATCTGCTACAAAAAAAAATCCCCCTCATGGACATTCAGAGTGCTTGTTCATATTGGCTTGGTGAAGGGCACCAACTGCAGCACTATCAGTTCTACAAAAACTTCATGAACGTACCCATCAGAAATTGTCAAATCCCGCTTGAAGTTTTATTTGTGGGAAAAGTTTCTGCGCTGTTGCTAAACCTCTCCTCAGTTTCTGCAGTCTTGGTTTGTAAAACTCCTTCAAAAAAGCCATTCATGGTGACTCTTAAAACCAAATCCCCCTCTGTTAAGACTACCAAGGAGCAGACTACTCAGATAGATTCCTAACCTTGAATCCAAGGAAAAAACTTCCACTTCTGAGTCATCAAAACTGACACTATTGATGCAGAAAAGGAAGAAGAAATTCTCTAATTTTAGCCCTCAGCCAAAAAAGGCAAAGGCCAAGAAACACAAGGGCCAAACACCTCTAGCCAAAGCACCATCAGCTCTCACACCACATTGAGGATCCAGGCAAATGTGATGAGGAGCTTGAAGACCTGGTGTGCCTCAGCTCCACATCAGAGGCAGAGATGTCCCAGAATTGAGCATCATCTCCAGCCTTTAGTCAAGTGGAGCCAATTTGCCCAGCAAGCCCTGGGCAAGCTTTCTTCACCCTGTTACAGTCCAGTGGCTGCTCCAGCAGAGGAGTCACTCCCTTTTGGGGAGTAATTACCAGCATATTCCTCAGCATCAGGCTCAACTCTCAAGAGAAAAAGGTCTGCAACAGGAAAGAGCCTGGCCAAATATTGCCAATGTCCAAAGGAGGGGTTGAGATACCCTGCTGAATTTTACCCTGACCCTCTATTGCCCTTTCCTTTTCTGCCACCTTATTACCAGGACCAAATGATGACAGATGACAAGACTGCTGGCCTGTTTCAGGGCTTGCCCATGTTTTCACTGCTACCAGCTATGTATTCATGTCAGTCTTGAGAACCTTTCCATTCAGCCTCCCAGAATTGAAATGCTTATGAAAAACCACTATCTCCAGATCACTTCAACCCAGACACTTTAAAGCTGCCTTAGATCCAAAGATGTTGAAACTGACAAAAATCACACATGTTTGCCTTCTAAATCTCTGAGGAAAAAGTGCCATGCCAATAACTCACCATTAGTGTCGAGATGGCCTCCCAAGTAGGGAACCTTAGCATTCTCACTGTCAGTCATTCCAGTTTCATTTTGACGGAAGACCTAATGCAGGCATCCCATCACTCTGACTGTCCTTCATCCTGGTCAGCATCCGGGTCATCAGTTCCAAAGACCATAACCCTACCTCTCAGTATTCAATGAAATCTAGATGGACGTCAGTTTTGATCCTTCTAGTTTTGACAGCTCTAGGGCAGTGATGCAACTCTGCTGCTATATCAGAATCAAGATTCCCAACACTGACCAAGATCTCTCCTTCTTACCTAAGGTTGTCTCCAAGTTTCACCTTAATCAGCCCCTGGTACTGCCTACGTTTTTCCCATCACCTACCTCAGAGTTGGAAAACCCATTCCACACTTTGGATATCCAAAGGGCATTAGCCTTTTCCACCTCAATAACTAAATACTTTTGAAAGTCCAATAGACTTTCACTGGTACCAGTTACCAGGGGCCAAAGAAGGGTTGCCATATCACACATCAGACTCTCCAAATAATTAGTCTGCACAATTAGTCACCTTATGCTACCAGCTGCTAGCTAATAAGCCACTGCTCAGTTTCTTGAGGGTGATTGCTGTGCCAATGGCACTTCTCAGAGGAGTTTGTCTGAGGGATGTTGGCAAAGCAGCAACCTGGTCACAGCCTTTGACCTCCATCAAACATTTACAAACTGGATGTCTGAGCTAAGCTTGATGCTGCATTCAGCAGAACAGCGATACCCTCTGTTTTGGTGTGAGATCCCACCAGCCGGTAAGTGAGCTTACCAGTCACCCGTAAGTTTGATTTCACAGAGACCACAAAGGAGGACAGGTTGCTGTAACTAGTTCTTTGAGTGACTCATTTGTGAATTCACACAACCCACCCGTCCTCCCCCAGTCTGCCCTGTAACCACTGTTGTCTCTGTATTAGCGCCGGACAGGGGGAACTGAGGACTGCCCTCAGAGTCGGGATCGTGTGTGATGGAGATGGCGTGTCATAACACTTCTTTAGGGTCTGGAAGATTCTGAGGACATTCCCATAGGCACAGAACTAACCCATCTGTGTGATTTCACAGATGCAAACTCAGAGAACTGCAGTTTTAAGTAAGCAAGCTGTCCTTTCCAAGTGTACCCTGTTTCTTTCCTACTGAAATAAGTGATTATCAGGGAAACCACATCACGCAAGGTGGTTTAAAAATTCTCCCTGAAACACAGTCAATAATGTCTAGAAAAGCAGCTCCGAAACTAGCTCTGCTCGGTGTACCTCTGCAGTGTTGAGCTACCGATTACAGCACCATTGTTCCAGATACTTTTTTGGCTGTGGGGAGAATGTGGGGTTAACAATTCAAATAAAACTGTAGAAGGACTGGGAAGAACAGTCAGTCTGCCAAGGGTTGACTTGTTCTGTTGCTAAATGACTTCAGGCCTTCTGGGCTCTGAGGGATGATAACCTGTCCACGCACCTCCTTTCTGCCATTATTTTTCACCACAAGTGGTGTAAGAAAGTGCAACTAAATGGCGGTTCGTTATCTAAGAAGAGCCTTTTTCCTCACCAGGCAATGCATATAATCAGGAAGAGCGTGTGGTGTGCGCTGGTTATGACAATGGGGACATCAAGTTGTTTGACCTTAAGAACATGTCCTTGCGATGGGAGACCAACATCAAGAATGGGGTAATACTTCTCAAAGACACGATAGAATGCCAGTCTTTTCTCTGTAAGACAGAAGTTGAAGATGTATCCAGCAGAATTATACTCAGTGAGATTTCAACATGCTGTACATTTTATTTTTTGCCACTGGTCTTAATTAGAGCAGGTGGTTAAGTAATGGTTTCTATGAATAATGGCCACACTCTTTCTTTTTCCCACATGAAGAAATTTTGCAGAAAGTGGGCATAATTTCATGTACTTTTTCTTCCACACAAATAATATAATAATTGTGTGTGTGTGTGATGTGTGATGTGTCACTAAGTCACATCTGACTTAGGGTGTCCCTAGTAGGGGTAATTTGAGATATTTAAGGATTGGTTTTAACATTGCCATTCGTGGCAGAGCAGGGATTTGATCCCATATCTCCTGATTCCTAGTCTGTCATTCTGACGGCTATGCTGTGCTGACTCTTAGTGTACATTTACCCAGAGGGAATGAGGGATGTGTCTTCCTCCCCTGCAAACAAAGGGTGCCATTCTGTGCAGAGTTTAATGTGGTTTAGCCACTTAGATGAAATCTGAGAAAAGTGCCGCTGGTTCTGCCTTCTGTTTCTCAAAGCTAAGTTCTAGCCTCGTTATTGGAAGCATAAAAAGAAAAGAGACAGAATTCTCATAGTTTCTGTCTCTGCTTGTACAGCTACAGGCCCCTTTGGGTAGCCAAAATACCCCCTGCTCCAGCATCATTTCTGCAAATGCCTTGAACACAGGGGTTTCTGTGGAATTATGCTGCAGTTCATGAACGTTCCCTCTTCCCCTATTCAAAACATGACATGAAGGAAGGTGGGGAGAGGTGGCACCCTAGAATGCAGTGTAGTCTTGGGAACACAGTGAGGTCAGGGCCAAATTTTGGAAGGGATAGGAACATAGTAGCCATAAAGTTTTGGTTGTGTAAGGCCAGCTAAAGTTTACAGCCCTCTGAAGGTCTTAGAGTAGCAACAAAGCAGATATGGCACTGCAGATAGATATGGCACTGCACATTTGCTGAACAGCAACTCCTTTGAGCACCTACTATGTACTGCCACTAGGGAAGGATGATGGGCATTGCAATCAAACAAGTAGTGAGCCACATTTCTCAACTCCATCCTAAAGTACCTCTTCAGTTACAGCATCCGTTTCTGTGAGCCTAAATCTGTGCTTTCAGTTCTAAGACCACCTTGTTAGTAGGTCCTGCTTCTGAATAAACACTGTTAGGATCAAAGATGGGAGAAGCTTTTTGATCTAAAGCAAATTTGGCTGAAAAATTCTGGGTGTTGTGGGCTAGAAAAGCTTTCCCCATCTTTGGTTAAATTGCACTGCACTGATAAGGTGTTTAGGGTTCAGCTGAAGTCTAATGCTGTGTTTGTGCTTTGTACTTTTAGGTTTGCAGTGTTGAATTCGATAGGAAAGATATAAGTATGAACAAACTGGTAGCTACTTCACTTGAAGGAAAGTTTCATGTTTTTGACATGAGAACTCAGCATCCAACTAAAGGTTTTGCTTCCGTATCGGAGAAGGTAAAATATAAAATGCAGGCTGTTCATTGTTATGATTGAAGAGGCATCTTGACAAATATTTTTGGAATAGCACTTCATCCCGGGCTTGGGTCCAGAGCCCTACATCCCAGCTGTACTAGCAAGGTGGCTTCTTAGCTCATTTTCTTCCCTGCAGCCTTCTCTGTCAGCTGAAAGTCTGTGTGAGACTGTGGGCAAGACGTTTCACTGTTCTCCCAGCTGTGCAAGCAGGAGCAGTTATGTCAGCAAAATAACCCATTTGGACCCCTTCCCAAAGTCACTGGAAGGGTTATGTTTCTTTCCAATGTCATATCAGAAACTAGAAGATTGAGCCATTTACCAGATTTAAATGGTGAACTAATTGGTTAATAGATAGGTTGTGGCAATTGCTCCTTTGCTGCACAGTTTCTGGAAGTAGAACGCTTCCTCTTGCGTATATGTAAAGTGGCATTTTGTATCATAGGATGGGTCTGACTGAATTTAGTGCAACCTTTTGTGTGGTGAGCAGCCCCCAACCACATGTATGCACGGCTGAACTTGTCTTCTCTTGTCTTCACTAAGGTCATGTGTGCGTAGCATTTCTCTTCACAAGGCATTAAGGGTGAGGAACGCTTGACGCCTTGTGAAGGGAGGTGCCGTGTGCACATGAACTGCTCAAAGCAAGGCTCATGAAGCCTTGGCGTGCTGCTGCCATTCCCTGGTGCAAGAGGCAGTGCCCCTTTTGAGGTGGTGAGGGGAGCAGTCCCTTTAGCACTTGACTTTTGTGCAAAGTGAACACTGAGAAGGGCAACAGAGAATACAGGCATTGCAGTGACGAAAAATTACCTCCTTGCCCAACATAGTTCTGGGTGAAACTTCATTTGTATTTGGTCGCTCTCTGGCAGAGGCATTTTGAATAAGAGAGAACGTTGCTCCTGGAATTGGTGCAGCTTGTTTGTGCAGCCATGTATCCATCTGCCATTCTAGTAGAGACCTTGCATTAAATAGGCTTCACATAGGGGTCTTTGTCTCATTTTGTGCCCTCAGAATCTGTAGGCTTGTTATCCCCCCAGTATTTGTGGATGTCCTACCCCTGAGGTCTCTTGCTTGTGAGCAGGAATTGGAAAAGGGTTTGTCTTTTGCATCAGCCAAGGCTTTGGAGACCCTTGGAAGTAGTGGACTTGCTGCTTCTGAGATACCGGAAAGCTTGCCATGGTGAGGAATTTGCCCATCCTTTCCCTGTTGCACCCTCAACTCATTGCACATGTCAGGGATTTGAGGAGTCTGTCCTTCCTACACAGCATGAATTGAGACCCCATTCACTTCTGTCTTCTCTAAAGATGCCTTACCTCATGCTGGTCAGTCATAAACATGTGCAAAACAAAACAAAACCTGATTTTGACTGGCTACTTACCAATGACCTAATTTTTGCTATTAGGCTCACAAATCCACCATGTGGCAAGTTCGACATCTTCCACAGAACAGAGATATCTTTGTGACTAGTGGGGGAGCTGGAAATCTTCATCTATGGAAATAGTAAGTATTACAGTACTCTTCACAAGAAGGTAATAGCAGAATCAGTTGCAATAATTAACTCATCAGTAGGCATTGCTGTTCAAAACAGAATTATTCCCTAGTAGAACTGGCTTGACATCTCTTCCACAATCATACATTTATTTGACCGTGGATATTTATTTTAACTTCTTGCAACACTTCTTATATCACTGTATAGTATGTTAAGCATGCTATTCAGATTCTCCTTCCTGGCCTGTTTTACATTAGTGGATAGATCTTTAGTGCATAGTACTTTCCTTGCGCTGCTGCAGTCTAATTCATCTCCCAAGCAAACAGATCCCTGAAATAATACTTACCAAGTGCCTACTCATTTTTGGGAAGAGATCCATTAGGTCTGTTGGCCATATTGGTAAAGGCTTTGTTCTGGGAAGTGCTCTACCTGAGTGCTTGATTCTCTTGTTCATAAAAAGACATAGACCTCACCAGTTTCTGTTGGTCATTGTTAAGCTAGAAAGATACAGCCCTGCTTTCTAGCTTTCTTCTTAATGTTAGTTTGTCTAAGTCACTGTTACTAAAAGTTATGAATTCCTCTTCTTTATTTTTAAGGGATTCACACACACACACACACACACACACACACACACATTCCTCATTTTCCTGCATTGAGCCGGAAGTTGAATCTCAATGGACTTAATAGGCCCCTTCCAACTCCATCATTCTGTGATTCTGGTGGGTCAAATGAGACGCCTCTCGTAAGCTACCCGGAGCTCTTAGGAGAGGAAATCCTATATAGCAAATGGAATTTGTTTGTTACTGTGTCGTGTTTATCAAATGGACTTCCTTTTGTTCCTTCCCTCCCCACCCCACAGTGAATATCCGGGACAGCGCTCCAAGAAGGATTCAGAAGGACATGAGATGGGAGTCGCTGGTTCAGTGAGCCTTCTGCAAAATGTGACATTGTCGACCCAGCCTATCTCGAGCCTGGATTGGAGCCCTGACAAAAGGGGCCTCTGCGTCTGTAGCTCGTTCGACCAGACTGTAAGAGTACTTATCGTCACTAAACTGAACAAGATTTGATGGGAGAATAGCTGACAAAGAAAAACATCCAGAGACATTCCTAAGAGAGCCTTTTGGAAGTTCAGTCAAGCATCACTGTATGCCTCAGACCTTACAAGAAGCAGAAAAGCTCGTGTGGAGTGCTTTCTAACTTCTTAGAGCTGAAGATTGCATTTGCCTAAAATGTGCCTTCAGTTTTAGCACAATGAAACCTGTTCGTGTGCTTGATAGTCTTCAGTGCAGAATGCCTTTATGTTCATGGCATCTCTTGCACAGGGTAACAGCTTGTTGCCAGTTGTTTAAATTATTCTTAAAATATATGTGTTTCCATTGGCTCACAAGAATAGACTGTAATATATGGATATCCTGGAAAGCAACGTTCAGAGTCAGCCAATGTTCGTTCGCTAAAGTATTAAACTTGTTGGTATGTTTTTTCTACATTCCTTGGATTGCACTTATTTTGTCCATTTAAAAATTGAATAGCTGTGTTTTAATTAAGTAAAGATTAAATGTTTGCTATGCTGTATTTCTGTTATTAGCTGCTTGGTTAAAATAATGTAAGTATGTATGAATGGAATAATACAGTGGTGCCTCGCATAGCGAGGTTAATCCGTTCCGGGTTAACCTTTGCTATAGCGAAACATTGCTGAACGGGACAGGGAAAGCCATTGGAACGCATTAAACATCATTTAATGCGTTCCAAAAGGCTCCTTTACTCACCATTCAGCGAGGTTTCCTATGGCGGCAGCCAATTTCGCGCCCTCGTTAAGTGAGGGGAGGGGGCGAAAACGCTGCGCGCGGCCATTTTAAGGCTTCCGGCGGCCATTTTGTCCGCCAAACAGCTGATCGTCGGAGCTTCGTTTTGCGAAGATCGGTAAGCGAAACGCTTACCGATCTTCGCAAAGCGAATTTCTCCCAATCTGAAGCTCGTTGAGCGATCGCATTAGCGATCCAAAAAACGGATCGCTATGCGATTTCATCGTTATACGGTGCGCTCGTTAAGCGAGGCACCACTGTACTGTGATTTTATCATAGTTCTTTATAGTTCTGTCACATGATGGAGTTTCCACAACTCTAGTCAAACATTTTTAAAAGTTAGTTCTTATTAGTAATAACATTATTTATATGTTGTTTATTTCATTTCTGTCTTGCCTTTCCACTTGGATAAATAGTGCTTGGGGCATCATTAACGCAGATGCAATGATAAAACTATTAAGATCACAATAATAAAAGCAATGTATCAAATTACCCTTGAACTACACCACAGGGGTAATTTGATATAGATCTCCCATTCCCCATGCACACACAGATGCCCCCCGCATGCTGGCCCCCTAGTACTCCAGCACGCATACACACATGCACAGACACACACACACCTGCCCCCCGCACACATGCTAAACCAGTCCGCAGTGGTCAAAAAGATTGGGGGCCACTGGTGTAGAGGATAGAATGACAGACTGGGACTTAGGAGACCTGGTTTTGAATCTCCTTGGCCATAAAAATTCATTAAGGAGTCAAGATAGAGGCTCCCCTTGACATTTAGTCCAGTCATGTCCAACTCTAGGGCATGGTGCTCATCCCCGTTTCCAAGCTGTAGAGCCAGCGTTTGTCCGAAGACAGTTTGCATAGTCACGTTGCCAGTGCGACTAGACACGGAACGCCGTTACCTTCCCACCGAGGTGGTACCTATTTATCTACTCTCATTTTTACATGCTTTCGTACTGCTAGGTTGGCAAGAGCTGGGACAAGCGACGGGAGCTCACTCTGTCATGTGGATTCGATCTTACGACTGCTGGTCTTCTGACCCTGCAGTATGGAGTCTTCTGCAGTTTAACCCACAGCGCCACCACGTCAAACCTCTCTTTATATATCTCACTTAATTTGAAAGCCCTAATAGGGCTACAAATCACTTAGATATGACTTGGCAGCACATAACCAACATTTTGAAAGGTTTTCTTTAATGTAGACTTAGTACCTTCTGTAAAATCCTGTAGAATGCCATATGAGGCCTATAAGCAGTACAAACATTACAACATAATTTAGAAGATAGCAGGAGAAAATACTATAAAATGGCAAGCAACTTTTAAGTCCCTATGAATATCAGAACTCTAGCTTCTTTCATTGAAGGAATGCTCATTCTTTTCCATGTTGACACAGACGGTACCTAGAATCCCGATACTGAAATTCATTCTGCACAAGTCTAAATTTTCCCTAAAGGACAGTTTTCTATCTGATAATGATACATATTTAGTGGGATGGTGTGACTGGGAATGTGTTTAAATGTGACAATAAAAACACGCATTTTGTTACCCATTATAGTGCAGGCATGGAAAAGATCCATGAACTAATTTCAGTGTTACAGTCTTACTGTCAAAAATGAATTTTGGAGAAATACTTGAAGGATACTGCAGAAACTACAGATAACAATTGAAGAAAAATGTGTAAATCCTGACCTGTATGATTTGCAAAGCTTTTCATGTTCCCAGACAAAGAAGATTGACACCCAGGCTTCACCTGTGACCTGTATGATTTGCAAAGCTTTTCATGGGACAGAGCTATCACTAGAGAAAACCTTTGTGGCAACACAGCTTGCTCTGCTTTTGCAGCTCCTCTGAGACCCTCTCCCAACACTGAAAAAAGTATTAGTGAAAAATGAACTACTACTCCTAGATATCAATCTGCCCCCATCCAAAAAACCCCCCAGGAAATAGACTTTTGTATATTTCCTTCCAGAGATGGGGACTTGAATTGTCGGACTTAAGTCGCACCAGTGACTCAATTCGGAGGGTTTTTTTTTTCAATGACTCGGACTCAGCTTGTGACTCAGAACCCACCCACTCTCAGCTTGTTTTTAATAGGGTCTCTGACTCTGCACCAAAGACTGGTCAGCTTTCCTGTTTCCTCTCCGCCCGCCCCCTGCATGTTAGGTGGTCTGTGTCAGTCCTAGGTGTTCCCAGACACAGAAGATTGACACCCAGGCTTCACCTATTCTGGCTTTGGCACAAAGATTGATTTTGTTTTGTTTACCTAGGCAATGTGCAAACATATGGCCAACGTACAGGATCTGTGTGAAACATGCTGCCTAGTCTTGGTAAGCAAAATGGGGTTTCCAATTAAACATGCAGAAGACGTTAGCCTTGACAGTACAGAGTTCCATGAAATGCATCAAGAACCAGCACTTTCACTTTGCTAAATCAAACTTCTTCAACTTGACACCCTCAGTCAGAAGATTTGGATTGTGCTTCATGATCAGCCCTAACTAGCAGAACGGAGGAGATGAACAGTGTCATACGTATATTGGAAGGGAGGTGCAATGCTTGAAACATACGTTATTCCGAAGGAGAGAAGTTCCGTTCATCCTTTCTTCCCTAGAAAAGCCTCGGAAAATATTGTCGCCCTGACCTCTAGTGGCTAAGAGTGTGCATTGCAAGAGAATGAAGCCAGTATGCACCAGGGTCTGGAAAAGGAATTGTGTTAGAACAAACAGTTCCCATTTAGTAATACAGTACAGTGGTGCCCGGCATAGCAACGTTAATCCGTTCCGGATTAATGTCGCTATCCGGAAACATCGCTATACAGATAGGAAAACCCCATAGGAACGCATTAAACTCCGTTTAATGCGTTCCTATGGGGCAAAAACTCACCGTTGAACGAAGATCCTCCATAGTGCCGCCATTTTCGCCGCCTCGGTAAGCGAGGGAAGCGCGTGAAAATGCTTGCCGTGGCCATTTTGGAACCGCCAATCAGCTGTTCCAAAAACATCACAATGAGAAGATCAGTAAGCGAAACGCTTACCAATCATCGCAATGTGATGTTTCCCCTATCTAAACATCTCAATGTGATCGCATTAGCGATCACAAAAAATAGATCACTATGCGGATTCATCGTTAAACGGTGCGCTCGTTATGCAAGGCACCACTGTAGTACCTTGGTTTATGTGCGCCTCGGTTTACATAATTTTCGATTTATGAACCAAAATCTGTAAGAAATAATGCCTTGGTTTACGGTTTTTAACCGGGGGTGGGGGTTCACTGTAGGTTTGCCTGGAGGTTTCTAGCATCAACCCCATTGCTATGGCAATCCACGTTCCGGTTTACATAATTTCCGCATTATGTAACATCCTGGATGACGGATTAATTTCATAAACCGAGGTACTATTATTTCCGCATTATGTAACATCCTGGATGATAGATTAATTTCATAAACCGAGGTACTATTGTAATAGCCTTAGAACTGCAGAGCTGGAAGGGACCCTGTGGATCATTGAATGCAGTCTCTGTCAAAGAGGCCCAGTGGGGAATAGAACACACAACCTCTGACTCCCCAGTCAGATGCTTAAACTGTATAACTATCCAGCAGTTCAGTTCAGTTAATGGGCAATGCATAAACGTTTTGTGCCATCAAGTTGGAACCAACTTATAGTGACCATAAAAGGGCTTTCAAAGTAATTGAGACGCATAAACGTTTTGTGCCATCAAGTTGGAACCAACTTATAGTGACCATAAAAGGGCTTTCAAAGTAACTGAGACATTTGAGGAGCGGTTTTAACAGTTCCACACTCCTAATGAGTTTCCATAGCTGAGTGAGAATTTGAACCCTGTTCTTCAGAGACCTAGTCTGTCATTCTGTCTACTACACACACCCCGTCTGCGGCCCGGTACCAGGCCGTGGCCTTGGCAGAACTGGGTTGTGGAGATAGATCTGCCCCCCATGCACATATGCCCCCCACAAATGCATGCACATACGCATGGGGGGCCCATTCATGCAGGGGGGCCCTGCCCACCCACAAGTGCATGCACGGGTACCCCGCCCACCTGCGCAGGCACACCCAGGTGCCCCGGACACACATGGACACGCCCCCCCCCAGTCTGCAGTTCCAAAAAGGTTGGAGACCACTGCGCTACACCACACTGGTATTTACCAGCCCCAAAGGTGTTATGACTGCCAAGGTTGCTTAAGAGCCTGAGATCTTATCAAGAAGATATCATATTCCACAGTTTTACAGAATGGGGCTGATGGTTGTAATAAAAATTCCATTGCTCTAATGAGGGAAGGCAGAACTCGGCACCTTCAAAGATTTCGGTGCCTTCACTTTGTACAAATGCCAGCATGCTTACCAATATATTTCCATACATTTATATTCAACTTCACTGTTTTTTCTGCAAGTTACAGCAGTGAAAACTGTTTCCTCGGAAGTCGGTGTTTCTGATCCCAGCAAGCACGAGATACCTGAAGGTGGGGGTGGAGAAATTTCCAGGGAACAACAATGCTCAGCTTATGAACACACATATTTAACAAATACACATGCCAAGGCTTGGGTTAGTGGATGCCTGCCAATAGAACACCCGACCTTATCCACACGGGCAACTCAATCCCTTACATCCTCGACCTCCTTTGCCAAGATGGAAGCCTGGGAAAAGCTATTTCCTTATTACGCAGGCACATGCAGCTGTAGGGTGCCAAGCTGCAGAAGCTGCTGGATAGCTGAATAGCGGTTTAGGTCTCTGGCTGTAGAGCCATAGGTTG